GCCAAAATGGCGTCTCTGAAAAAAAAAGCCTTTTTTTTTTTTTTTTTTTTTTTCTGTAATGAAGCCATTATTCTCTATAATCTTGGACAGCCAGAGGGATCTGCTATAAAATATTCGAGATTGATGGGTGGGGGAGTGATGTACCTGATGAGCTGGCCCGCTGAAGGGCAGAAAAGAAGAGAATTTACTGCCCTCTAATTTACCTTATTTTCACAGCAAATTGCTGGTTGAATAGATTCATGGAGAATTGTGATCCTGGGTTTCTCCGAGAGCGTATTTACCCTATTGTTGCAGGTCTGGGATTGTTCTCAAGAGAGGATTGGAAGCGTCTAGAGTAGCCAGTTGTGGAGCCAAAAATGCATGTGATCTGACAAGGTAGTGACGCTGCTGCCATCTCTTCTGTCTTCCAGGGAGTACAGGAGCAGGTTCACAAGTGAAGAAACACTGATGTTCTGCATGCGGGTGATGGTGGGGGTCATCATCCTCTATGACCACGTCCACCCTGTGGGAGCTTTCTGCAAGACATCCAAGATTGATGTAAGAATATTGTGCCATGTGCTATGCAAATAAGAGCACACCAGTGTTGTCAGACACACCTGGCTTCTCTTCCTCTGGCCTCCATCCCCACTGGGAGTGATCTCTCCAAGATGCAGACCCCAGCATGGCAGCTGTCCTCATAGCCAGAAGTCCAGTCTTTGGCATGTACTTATGGCCAAACATGCAACCTCAAAGCATAGCTGGAATGCTGGGATGCTGATCCCCTCAGCCCATAGAGGAGCTGAGCAGATAAACAGTCACTTAGCCAAAAGCTGCTTCTTCATCTACCCAGTGTACCACACAAGACACCATGGCCAAATCCCAAATGACCTTATGACATCCTTTCCTACCACTCCCTACCTGTTGCTCCACCCAATTTCCATGCCCTTTCTTTTCATGTGAACATGTGCGAGCTCTTTTCCGTGCCCAGAGTGCCCTTCCTCTTTCTCTCTGATGGGTGGATTTCTTCCAGATGCTCAATGTCACCTCATCTAGGAACACATTTCCTGTGCTCTGCATGGGTTGAGCCTTCCTTCTCCTCCTGTTCCCCAGGGCACTTACCACTTTGCATTTTCTGACTCCCTCATAGAGTGAGTTTTTTGACAAGAACAGATCATGATCTGTACACCTAGTCTGCTCTACTGCTTGGCACAGTACCTGGCACGTAGTGTGTGGCACTCAGTAGATACTCCATAGAGTTCTGAATGAATGAAAATAATTTGGGAACACATGATTTTGGTGTGTAGATGCTTTCCTGTTAATCATGGGATAAAGCACACCTTCTTCTAGCCCAGCATTTGCCTGTACATCTACCATGTAGCGTACCTCATGTATTAATTTAAAGCCTTCTAAGTGCAGAATAGAACCTCTCAGTACTAACTTATCCTGACATGGCTAAGTCTGGGTGGCACAGTCTATGTTCAATTGTCTGTACAAAATAGCATCTTTGATGCTTTAACTCTGTGCGAGAGAAAGTCTTTATGCCCATGGGTGCCATGAATCTGAAGAATGCAAGGAAATTTATCAATGAAATATGTATCTTGGATTACTCATTTTGAGATTCTGGGCTTCTAACATAGCTAGGACATAACATAGGTTCTTCATTGAATCTTCTTGATTTTTAATGTAATTTATTTATATTTACCAAGAAAATTAATATTCATTATAGCATTTTTTGAAATATAGGAAATAAAAGTATAGAAAATTAAGTGTATCTGTAATAACCTCACCATAAACAGATGATGACTGTTTATGTCATAATACATATGTCCCTTCTTTTTATGTAAATGTTTGTGTGGATGCATGTATAGATGTACTTAGCAAATTAGGACCCTGATATACATGCTATTTTAAAACGTTTTTATTTGCATAATAGTATATTATGAACATTGGTCATATCAAT